AGGGGGGAGATGGTGCACAGGAGCTGTGGCACACAGCTGCAGAGTTCAGTGGAGAAGTCTGATGTAAGGACAAGGGATGCAAGTGGCAGGGGGCCAATGAGAGCAAAGGTGGGGTGGAGGAGGTGTGGAGCAAGGTTGTCCATACAGTGTCAGACCTCAAGGAATTGCTTCTCTGACCTGACCAGACCTCCTGAGGAGATACTCTGGATCATAATGACTTGGAAAATGCTCATATGAACCCTCCTCTACAGTAGTCATTTATATATTTTTCCCTTTAACAAAACCCCTATTTTTTAGTAGGTGCAGTTTGAAGTCTTTCTCCTTAACGACACTATGAAACAGCACCAATGAGTGATGCAAGTCTTGAAGACTTGAAGAAAATTACAAAAAGATAAAGAGCTTCTTAGGGCATTTGGGGCTCATTACATGAACCTCAGCTACTGAGAGAAGACTGAACAAGCAGCTCAAGAAGTCCAAGTCAGAAGAAAAACCCAAAGTTCCTTGAAGTATTAATGGGCCCCACTGAGGGCAATCACTGACAAAGCCTCCCCAGGGACTCGTTAGAGCAGATAATTGGAGGCCATGCTTGCAGGAAGGCAAAGGCCCTGAGCAGGTGGCTGTGATGCTGAGAAAAGCCTTGGATTTGTTTGAGGAGGCAGAAAGGCTGGCAAGAAAGATCCTGAGGCCCTCACATTAAAGGTTCATCTCACGGACCTTTGTGGCAGAGGCAACTGCTATAGCCAAGGGGACAAAGAAATCACTCCTTGTTGGAACCTGCAGCCTTGCCAGAGGCCTTGGCCATCTCTGCTGCAGGCTGTCCTACACTGTCCCATGCCTGCACCTCTTTCTCTTCAGGCTGTTGACATCCTTCTTGCTTTCCCACCTAGCTCTCACCCTGGCACTTCCCTACCTTCACTGTTGTCTCTTTACTGTCTCTGGCCACTCCTTGAAACACAAAACCTTGGGCTGATGCAGACTCCCACTGGTTGACTTCTTGGACCACAAGGCTCCCCTTAGAGTGAGACATCTTCATCCTCACCTCGAGTATGAACCTTCCAAGCTGCTCTTTGTGGAGGTTTCCTTCTGTTCCTACTGCCAAGAAAAGCTCCAGCATTTCTGAAACCACCCTTCAAGCAGTTGCATGCTACTACTAGAATGCCCTGAGTCTCCACTTCACCAGACTAAAGAATCCCAGGTCCCTCAGCCTCTCCACAGAGGGCCCAAAGCCCATCTTGCAAGATCTCCTCTATAGCCTCTCCAGTTCCTCCCCATTCTTCCAGACCATGGAGCCCTACACCCAGACACACAAGTCCAGAGGTGGCCACAGCAGAGCTGATACAAGGGTGATGAGAGCTCCCTTCTCTGGGTGGCCATGCTCCAAGTAACGCAGCCCTCTATGCAGCTGGCTTTATTCATGGTGAGTAGGGACCACTGGCTCCTATGGCATTCCTCTTCATGCCCAGGCCCTTCTCCTCAGGAACGCTCCTGAGATGGTCAGGTCCCAGCCTGCCCTCACATTTGGGGTTATTCTTACCCCTAAGAAATCACCTGCAACTTGTCCTTGTAAAACTTGAAGAGGTTTCTATTGCCATGTCCAAGAGTTTTTCAAGGCCCCTCTGGAGTGAAGCTCTGTGTGGGCAGCTGTTTATGTGCGTGTACAGGTGACCCACCAGATCCCTGGTGCCTCTGACAAGACAAGAGCATGAGGAATTGCGGGGCACTACAGATAACAGCAGGAGGTAGTGGTTTAATGGAATTGCTGACAAAGGAAGGAATTGCCCTGGTGACAAGCTCAGAAGCACCAAAGGAGGCTACAAAGGAAGCCAAACTGGCACCAGAGAGGAAAAGGTGAAGAGAGATGGGCTGTTTGCATGGGAGGGTACCAGGATGGTCCAGGGGAAGCAATTATGAGTGGGAGAAGAGGGAAAATGAAAGAAAAGGTGAAGCAATGGAAATAATTGGGATCTTTCAGGGGTACCTGCCAAGCAGCCCAGCACTTGCCCATTCTGCTTGATAAACTTCCTGAGGATTTGCCCTGGTTTTGGCAGGGATAGATTTAATTTTCTTCTTCGTAGCTGGCATAGTGCTGTGTTTTGGGTTTAGGATGAGAGGAACATTGATAACCCACTGATGTTTTAGTGGTTTTCTACTGGTGCTTATATTAGTCTTGGGCTTTTCAGCTTCCCATGCTCTGTCACGTGCACAAGAAGCTGGGCAGGAGCCCAGACAGCAGAGATGAGCCGAACTGTCCAAAGGCGTGTTCCATAACACATGATGTCATGCTTGGTATAGAAACATGGGGAAGCCATTGCTGGGCATCGCTCTGTGGGTGGTGAGTGGTTGACTGACTCAATGCCCTGCGTGTGTCTGCCTGCATTGCCTGCCTGACAATGGCACAGGAATGGGGGTTTCCAGAGGAGAACTCTGACATCTCCTGCAGAGCAATTCCCACTGCAGGAATCAGTCTGCCCAGTGATTAGAGAGGCACAGTCAGTGATGACTTCAGACTGCTCCAGACTGTGTTCCCCAGGAGAGACCTTGCTGCCTTTCAGGAGCTGTCAGCCCTGGAGACCCAGGGGCATCTCCAGGGACGGTGGTGTGTGTGCAGAGAAAGTGATGCCTTGGGCTGGTCCTCTGCTGCTGAGCTGGGCTGGGCTCCTGGGATGGAGGGAGCTAATGGCAAGTGGGCAGCGCTGCTGAGAGAAAGCTCTGCCCAGGAGCAGCTCCTCTGCAAAGCGCAGCAGGGCTGAGGGCACTGCCTACAGGCACCAAGGAGAGAGGAGTGAGGCAGAGAGAGGTTAAAGGCAGTCTGGGGTGGGAAAATGCATAGAGCTCACTGGAGGAGAAATCTTCACAGCCCTGAACACAGTAAGGCTTTGGCTGCAGGGCACATCCTGGAGGGATCTCCTGGAACTGACACATCTCATGGCTGGCACAGAGGAGAAGGACGTGCTGCAGAGCAGGGACTCCCTGCTGCACTATCAGAGGGAGAGGACATGATGGCTGCAGGGTGTGAAAGCTTGTGTTCAGGCAGGGGTGCCCAGGGCTGTCCTTCCCAGCAGGGTCCCTGCAGCCCATGCTGCTGCAGGGAGAAGCTGTGGGATGAAGAAGCAACCATTGACCAGTTAGGTCAAGATCTTCCTGCTGTCAGCAGGGTGCTGCGTGCATCAGGGCTGCTCACAGCTCCTGTTCATCACAGAACGTTTGCAGAGGGTCTTCTTGTAGAAGAACATTGAGGCAATATTTAAATGAAAGGGAAGGAGTCCGTGCTTTGAGCATTCTCTTCATGGTTGACTGGGTGGGCAGTGGGAGATGGGAATTTCTTTTGCCCTTGTGGAAAATGCATGGAGACCCCAGTTCTCATTAGCACTTGTCTGAGCTGCTCCTTAGCTGCTGCAGATACAGAGATGCCCCTGGGTGGTGCCCTGCTGCGAGAAGGTGTCTGCAGGGCAGAGGTGAGCACACAGTGGGTGGGATGGGGTCTGTGAGCATGGAAGAGTTATGGGTACAGAGAAACAGCTCCTGGTAGGGACAGGTCCTGGAAATAGACTGAGACTTGGGCAGGGAGTGAGCAGGAGCTGCTACCAGGAGTTGCTACCTGCCTGCCATCCTCTCAGGTGCAGACACCTTCTATGGAGCAAATACCCTGTGTCTTCTCCCACCCAGCAAAGCCTATTCCACCAAAGCCATGGGATGCAGGGCATGGGACACATCTTTTGCAGCTGCACCTCCAGTCTAGGAGAAGTGCCTGTGTCCTACAATTAACCCATCACAAACCAGACAAAACCGACTGCCCTACAGTGTCACTCTCTGTCAGGTGGAGAGCAAAGCAGGGTAAAGAGAAGGCTTCAAGCATTTTTTTTGGAACACTGCAGTTTTCTGCCCTGTTTTCCTAGCTTTCCATGGTGCTCTTGCTCTCTGGGGTTGAGGTGGGGGTGCAGGTCAGCTTCTGTTCTGACACCACCGCTGAGAGTCCTGCCCTGGAGGTGCCTTCATGGGAAGAAGGTGCCCAAGCTGTGAGGCACCATGGCATTCAGTTTGTAGGGTTAAGAAATCAGCTGAAACATTCCCCAGTCAACTCAGGGAGGGGGGTGGCTGTGAGAAATTTCATGGGGTTTTCCTGTAAGAAATCTTCCCTCACTTATCATTGTGTTTTTCTTCTTATACAGGTCCCCATGCACAGAGGCAGCAAACGTCCAACAGCAGCTCCATCACCCAGTTCCTCCTCATGGCATTCGCAGGCACACGGGAGCTGCAGCTCTTGCACTTCTGGCTCTTCCTGGGCATCTACCTGGCTGCCCTCCTGGGCAACGGCCTCATCATCACCGTCATAGCCTGCAACCACCGCCTCTACACCCCCATGTACTTCTTCCTCCTCAACCTCTCCCTCCTCGACATGGGATCCATCTCTACCACTGTCCCCAAATCTATGGCCAATTCCCTCTGGGATACCAGGGCCATCTCTTACCAAGGATGTGCTGCTCAAGTTTTTATGATTGCCTTCTTAATCTCAGCAGAGTTTTCTCTTCTCACCATCATGGCCTACGACCGCTATGTTGCCATCTGCAAACCCCTGCACTACAGGACCCTCCTGGGCAGCAGAGCTTGTGTCCACATGGCAGCAGCCGCCTGGGGCACTGGGTTCTTCTATGCTGTGCTGCACACGGCCAATACATTTTCCATACCTCTCTGCCAAGGCAATGCCCTGGACCAGTTCTTCTGTGAAATCCCCCAGATCCTCAAGCTCTCCTGCTCAGATGCCTACCTCAGAGAAGATGGCCTTCTTGTGGTTAGCATCTGTTTAGGCTTTGGGTGTTTTGTTTTCATTGTGGTGTCCTATGTGCAGATCTTCAGGGCCGTGCTGAGGATCCCCTCACAGCCGGGACAGCACAAAGCCTTTTCCATGTGCCTCCCTCACCTGGCCGTGGTCTCCCTGTTTATCAGCACTGGCACTTTTGCCTACCTGAAGCCCCCATCCATCTCTTCCCCATCCCTGGACATGGGGGTTTCATTTCTGTACTCAGTGGTGCCTCCAGCATTGAACCCCCTCATCTACAGCGTGAGGAACAGGGAGCTCAAGGATGCAGTGTCAAAACTGATAACTGGGTGGTTTTAAGCAGCAAAAAGCTTCCCATCTTCTTCTGCATAGTACTTACAGTGTAAAGCACGATAGGACCAGCCTGTCTTTGGTAGTTGGTTTGGGTTTGGTTTAAGCTTTTCTTAGTTGTAATAATGTTGTCCACAAAGAAATTTCATTATTCATACCATTCCTAATTCAGTCTCTACCTGTCCTGTGTGACCCAGAGACTATGTAATGATGAGCCATGCTCAATGTCATTTTGCAACAAAAAAAGTGACCCTGCAGTGAGTTTTTTTGTTAAGATACTTTATTCAATGCCTTCTCTGGAGCTGCAGGTGCAGTGCCTGTGTGCAGAGGTGGAGGGAAACATAGTTCATGCAGAGCAGCACTGCTAGGTAGCACCAGTGTTTGGCCTTTCTGAGCTGCTCAGTTTCCACCTCCACGCTCTCCTTCTGAGCCCTCACGTTGCTGTAAGGGCCTGAGAGCACTGGCAGCTTGATATAGTCCTGGTGTGTGGCAGTTTGTGCCAGCAGGCGGGGACAAGCAATGGACACTTCTGTGACACAGCTGACATCCATCACAGCAGCACACATGAAAGGGGATCTTCTAGGGGCAGTTCCTGATGGCTTAGGTCGCTTTCTAATGGTCTTCTTAAGACCATGCCCAGGAACATACATGGGAGAGAAAACACCAGTAAGCAGCTAAAGTCTGTGGGTGTGCATGGTGGGGGCTCATGGCCCTGTCCTTTTACAGCCAGGCTTCCTGCGAGAGAGGTGAAGGACCAGCAGAGCAGGGTCTGGTCTGTGCCCATGTTTGCTGGGCGCCTGGGGGAAGCTGCCCCAGAGGACTTGTCCCCAACCCACCAATAACAACCACCATTTTCATCACTGGCCTCTTACTGCAGCCTGGAGAGGTTCTTTGACCCTCCATGGAGGGACACTGAATGGTGAGGTCAGAAGCTTCTGTCTGCGTTGTACCAACGGGATGTAAGCATGCACATGGTGTGTTTGTGGTGAGATGAACCCAAGAGATCACAAATGCCATCAGCTATTTCTAGGGGTGTGTGGTGAGCTGACCTTGGCTGGACATCAGGTGCCCACCAAGCCACTCTATCACTCCCACTCCTCAACTAGGTATGGGGAGGAAAAATACAATGAAAGGCTTGTGGATTGAGATAAGGACAGGGAGATCACTTAGCAATTACTGTCACGGGCAAAACAGATCCACCTTTCATTTATTACCAATCAAACCAGAGTAGGGTAATGAGAAATAAAAACAAATCCCTCCTGAATTGTCTACCTCCTCCCCTTAAGGGACATAGATGGACAGGAAATGGGGGCTGTGGTCAGTTCATCACAGATTGTTTCTGTCACTCTTTTTTCCACATACCGTTCTCCTGCTCCAGGGTGAGGTCCCACCTGTGGGAGACAGTCCTCCACAAATTTCTCCAATGGGGGTCCTTCCCACGGGCTGCAGTTCTTGACAAACTGCTCCAACGTGGGCTCCTCTCCCCAAGGGGTCACAGGTCCTGCCAGAAAACCTACTCCAGCATGGGTTCTCCACAGGGTCACAGCCTTCTTCAGGCACATCCACGTGCCCCAGCCTGCTTCATGGTCTTCAGGATTATATTTCATCCACCATGGGCCTCCATGGGCTGTAGGGAGATAGCCTTCCTCAGCATGCTCTTCACCACAGGCTGCAGGGGAATCTCTGCTCCAGCACATGGAGCAAGTCCTCCCCCTCCTTCTTCAGTGACCTTGGTGTCTGCAGAGTTGTTTCTCCCACACATTCTCACTCCTTTCTCCCAGATGCTGTTGTGCAGCTCTTTTTTCCCCCCCTTCTTAAATGCGTTATCACAGAGGTGCTACCACTGTCACTGATTGACTCAGCTTTGGCCAGCAGTGGGTCCATTTTGGAGGCAGCTGGCATTGGCTCTATCATGCATAGGGGAAGCTTCTGGCATCTTCTCCCAGAAGCTGTTGCCCCCCTGCTTCCTAAACCTTGCTGCCCAAACCAAACACAGGATTCCATGGAGGCCTGTGGAACAGCATCTTGAGGTTTCTTCACATTGAGAGCCATGTCCCCTGGGAAAACACCTGAATGCAGCACTCGGATGTGCTTCCTTCAACTAAGGTCCCTGCATCCATTCTTGGAGCATCTCAGATGATTGCAGAGCAGAGCAATACACCCCAGGGCTGAAGTGTCCCCCAGCCTCTGGCAGTGGCACAAGGAGGCCAGGGAGACACTGTGTTTGCTGCTAATGCACTGCTTCTGCATGTGCAAGGGAAGGACTCCTGCCTCTGAATTGCCCTGTGTGGGTGAGGAGTGCATGAGGCCAGCTCAGGCGTGGACCCCTCACAGAGCCCTGGCATTTCTGTGTGTTACACCAGGAACAGCCCCTAACATTCCAGAGAGATTTCTCTAACCCATTTTGGACAGGTTCATCGCAAATGCTACCTCATGCTTCCTTGGCTTTCTGGCCTGCCCCTTTCATCACAGACTATGAACAGAAGGTGCCTGCAGAGCATCTCACCTGAGCAGTCCGAAGGGATTCTGCAAGCACGAGTGACATTGACCTCTAGGAGGCAGCATTTTTCACCTTTCAAGAGGCACAGAGCAGATCTAGGGAATGTGATCGCACTCAGTGACACACACCCCACCAAGTTTCATCTTTCTGACCTTCCTTCACAAAGTCTTTAAGCATCTAACAAAGAAACAAATGTTCTTCCTCATAGGTGTCCTACAAGGAGAGAGGGGACAAGAAGGACCTAAAGCCTTCTGTGGACAAATTACAACGGGAAAATCAGACACCACTGATAGAGCTTCCTGTACTGCAAATGGGGAACATCCCCCATTCTTAGACAAATCTCATGACCTGCCCTGTGACTGAGTTTGGGAACACCCTCATCATTATGCTGGGGGTGGGACACTTGAACACTCACTACAGCTCCACCACCATGCTCCAGCTGCTGTAGTACTATTAGCACTGTTTTCTTCACCTTTTGCAGGTAAAGGAGTTTTTCCTGCTGGTGGCCCCTTCCTACGCTCTGTACTGGGCTGTATGCCACCCACTTTTCTCTTTGCGAGACTCAGGAAATGGAAGGCCTGTCTCCAGGAGGCAGCTACACCTCTGCTAGGGGGATTTTTCTCATCTACAGTAATCACATCATTCTTGTCCCACAATATTCTGTGTCCACAATGGAGTGGACAACTTCTTCTGTGATTTCACTGGAGGTCTCCTGCAGTGACACTGACACTTGTGCCATTTGCTTTCATAACCTGCTTTGTAGAGCCAGCCCTCCCCTTCCTGTTCATGCTGGTATCCCGTGTGTGCATCAGAGATTCCATCCTGGAGCAGCTTTCCCACTCAGTGTGGGCAGGCTGAAGGTCTATCTAGTGTCAGTGTTTTCTACAGCACACTCATCCTTCTCTGTGTGACACTCAGTGTGCTACACCCAAGACACTCTTCTGACAGTGTGGGATATAGAGAAGTCTTTTGGTGTGGGAAGGAGGAGAGAGGTGCTGGTGGAGCTGGCCAGAGTCAACATGAGACCTCTTTCAAACATCTCAGAAAAGCCAGAGTGATCCAGGAAGTCTCAAAGCCCTTGGAAAGGAAAATCTCAAACCCTTCTTCATGCGGGCAAGAAGGAGGTCTGTGAGAATTATAGGCTTGTCAGCTTCACCTTAGTCCCTGGGAAGGTGATGGGACAAGTCCTCATGCAGCCATCTCCAGGCACGTGAAGGAAAAAGAGAAAGATTGCTGAACCCATGTGGGAGGGGAAAGTGGGTGATGTTGCATACCAGGACTTTAGCAAGGCCTTAAACATGGTCTCCCATCGTCTCCTTATAGCCAGAGCGGTGATATCTGGACTGAAAAAGCACACACTGACGTGAGTGGGAGTTATGCTGGATGAACAGGCCCAGATGACATCAGTGTCCTCCTGACAGCCCCTATCTTTTTGCACTCCTCTGTGACCTGCACTTCGGCCAACGCCGTGGAACATCTTGATTATGTCCCTGTATGATGGGATGGAGCTCACCCTCAGCTCCTTTGTAGATGAGGGCAAGCTGAAGGATAGTTCATCTGCTCATCTAGAGATACCTCATCTAGATCACCCTGCCTCCAGCAGGAGAGTCAGACAAGGCAATGTTCAGGTCTCCTCTGAACATGAGTTCTTCTCTCGTTCAATGAATCTTTCCCTTGGAGAGTTCACTGAAGATAGGATAGGCAGAGGAAGGAGAAAAGACACAGAGGCAGAAGTAAAGAGAGAAAATGTGCCACTATAAACACAGGAGTTCCTCTGAGCAACTTTTCCTCATTTGAATCACCAGTAAGACCATTTATTTTAATAAATGGCTGCAATAAGCTCTTCACAGAATAGAGAAAATAATCATCTAGCCTGTACATACCCTTAGTGCTGTTAATAAAAAGCTATGAAAAAAGTTCATGAAAATTCATGAAAATTTAGCAGTGCTGCAAAGGAAGAGTTTTTCAGCTATTGGAAAGAGTTCTTTTCTGCAAAGGTTTCAATTTTGTCTAACAATCTATATTTGGGTCTTGCTTCAGTTATCCACACAGAGGTTGTCACTGCCTCCAGGATGCCCTGGGGCAGCTGAAGCACCCATGTGGAAATGTGTCCCAGGAGACCTGGGAGCCCTTCTGGAGCAGGAGCTGGTGTTCAGGCAGAGGTGTCTCAGGGTGGGTGGAGGCCATCAGCTGCCTCCAGCACTGCTGGGGTGGCTGAGCAGGGACCTCTCGAGCACCGCAGCACATTGTGTCCCCTTGGATGCTGGCTGTGAGGTCACTTCTGATTGGCTAGCAGTGGGCAGAGAGGTACTTGGAGGTATGGAAAGCCATTACAATACAGCCCCCAACAAGATGAAATGTTTGGGGAAATCAGGGGTAGCTGGGACAAGGGAGATGAGAGATACACGAGAGGGAATAGGGGCTTGGCCAACAGAGATGGCAGATTGTGAAGAGGTAAGATCCGGTCAGGTAATTTTGATACCACTGTGACACTGTCTGTGAAAACATT